TATATATATATATATATATATATATATAAATTTGATTTACATACACTACATAGAAATGAATTAAATACTTTATTTATTTACATTCTGAATAATATTTTGGAAGTTTCATTTACAGTTTTTATGATATAGTTGATCATGATAATGATATTACAGTTGATTCTTACAAGTACTGTTAGAAACTTGTTCTTTCGGCTCGAGCAGGTTGTGATCTAGAGCCATATCTTTGTGTGTAAGGTAGATCATGACTATTCCTTTTACGAACACAATATACTATTGCAATAATGACACATACTATAAGTAAAAGAAGTAGTAGTGCACCGAGAACGACAGCTGCTATTTCTCCTTGTGATAGGTTGTCCCATGCTGTTACATCAATACTACGAGTGTACTGATTTTCCGATATATCTATCGCTGTAATTGTAGCTGTTGGTGTGCAGCAAGTTGATAAATAATAAAATGTTACTCGCTCCTTTGTGCCACTTATGTATTTAGTGCGAGGATATAACCCATTCGGTACTGCTATTACACGTTTTAAACCTAAAAAGAAAGAAAATGATTGATTTGATACAAAAGTTTTTATTATTATCATTTATTCATATATACTATTACACAATTTATTGGTTACCTGAATCATAATCTTGGACAGTAATGTCAGCACTCCAAAATGTTTTTTCGCAACGATCTTTGTCCAATTTACTGGCACAGTTGCTATTGAACCAATATTCAATTGTTGGTTTTACATTATCAATTTTCTCTCTCGAAAGCTCATTGTGAACAAAAACCTGTACTGTTTTCTCCAATATTTCTGTACCAACGATAGACAGTGTAAGCGTATTGACAGTTTCTTGGGTTCCCGCTGGTACAAGAATATCTACAGCTACCTGATCTGTCTGTCCCGGATACAACCACATGCTGTTGAATATAAATTTATAAAGATAAAAAATTTTTAGAAAGAATAGATATATTTATCAAGTACAAAGTTTTATTTCATAAGCTGTATTAAACATTTAATGTTTCAATACAATTATGCTCTATATTATATGATAAATTTGTAAAGTATGGATTTTATTGCTAATATCATAGTAAATAGTGGTATTAACCTCAACTTTTATTCGATGTCTTTAATTAATGTGAAGATATTACTATATAATAAATGAGATATATTTATATCCTTTAATTCATACTACAATGAAAAGTTGATCAACATTTAAATAAAATTAAATAACACAACAAGATGTGTGTTCACATGGACAATCCTAGAAACTCTTTATATAAAAAAATAAATAAACATTTATATATGGTTCTATCTAAGATTTTCTGGACTAAGATTTTCGGTTCTTATTTCAAGATCGTCTTAAGTAATGTCTTAAGACACTAAGACTTTCTGATTCGTGACATCTCAAGACTGAACTTAAGACGGTCTTGAATATCGGAATTGATTATGAATACCGGCCTAAATGTTATTTGTTGCTGAAATGTTGAGATTACTCGGCAGTATGACGTAGGAGTTACATAAATAGATGCACATTTTTATTCAACAGTTTTAGTAAACAATACAACAGTTAGTAAAAAGAAACCTAAGTAAGATTAATTAATAAGCAAAATTAAAATTGCTGTTTAATTAGTTATAAATTAGTTATAAATTAGTTATAAATTAATATTTACTTGTGACTATTTATATATGACTAATATTATAAATAATTGTTAACTGTAAACACCACTGTATTTACCAATTTGATTTATTGACTTATATAGTTTCCTTTAAAATTTCTAAGAAAATTAATCTTTATTTTATTAATTATTTTAACTAACTTTCGAGTTGTTTTAAAATAATTTACTTACTATATTGGGGGTTGGATATTATAGATTCTAAATGGAGAGCTTCTCGCTCGAATTGTATATCTAACTGGAAGAACACAGTTATTTGTCGCATCAAAAATCACTCTATGTGTTGTTCCTGGAGAAGCAATTAATTTACTGTTTACATTTACATCCAACAGTAGCTTTCTTCTTTCGAAAGGATCCTCATTAATTTGCGTTGAAAGTTTTTGACTTTGATCGCTATCCATTTGCATCGATATGATTTCATCGGATGATATCATCTTTGCATCAATACCTCTTTCTTCATTTAATGATGCGACTTCCGATGATCGCGCTTGAATTTTCTGCTGTTGCTCCTGCAAAGTATAAAATCTTATTTATCATAAAATTTTAATAAAAAGTTAGTAAAAAAATCGGTATTATAAATTTATAAAAAATATTCATAGTCTCAATAAAAATATAATATATTCTTTAAATACCTCGATATTTGAGAAATTTGATAAAATCTTAAATTCACCATAACTTATCAAAGAATTATTACGTAGAACGAAATGATTAATATTATTTTTATCAATTACTGCAATAGATTCACGCTTGTGTATGTGCGTGTGTGGGGAGAGTGATATATCAGAAAAATTATCTGTTATTTCATCATTATTTCTTCTTGGGTCCATAATTTCTGCTGATCTTTCAAATTTTCGCTTTTTATTTATTATAG